GCCAGGCGGCCCCTGCACCCGCCGGGGGTCCCAGGCCTGGTTTGGTTTTAAATCAGTATCAGTATTCTCCAGCCTTGGCACGATCGAGCTGCCTGCCGCTGGCTGCTGTCCTGCAGGAGTCACACAGGGCCGAGTTCCTGAGGTGGCATTTCAGGGAGGGCAGAGCACTAACCAAACTAGGTCCCTAGAAACCCCGGGAATTATTACAGTAGCTGAGGGTGGAAGACAGGTCTTATTTTTCTCCTGTTTCACCAGTTTCCTGGACTTCAGCTTTTGGCAGCATTTTGTGTGCCATTAAAATCCTTTGTTCTGACTTGTTCTCAGACTCGCGAAGGTGTGGGAAGGGACTGAAAGCCAGCAGGCAGCAAACAATAAGCAACGGTTCTGTGCAGAGTTAGAGGGGCTCGGGGAGCTCTAGGTCCTCAGGCTCACCCAAAAGAGACTTCTAAAGGTCAGTAGCTATAAACACATGTAAATCTACAATTAATAATAACATGCTAGTTTTATATATTCATCTCTGACACATATCAATCTGCAATTCAGTCTGATAGCGTTCTTTTCAGATGAAGTAGTTCTCCTGTGGTTATATCCCCTTTTTGAGTGGATAAGGATAATCAAGGTTTTCCATAAGAGTTTAAAGCTTAATAGAAATTGGATCAAAACCGGAGCAAGGCTGTAGTCCAAACTCCAGCTGCTTGGTTGGGGACGTGGATGTTAGAAATAGTATCTGCTTTGTGTCACAGATTTAGCTGTACTCGCCTGCTACAACGATGGACAGCGAAGTACAAAGGGATGGCAGAATCCTGGATTTGATCGATGATGCATGGAGGGAAGATAAATTGCCGTACGAGGATGTGGCTATCCCTCTGGTAGGTGAACTGCTACTTATCAATCTGAGTTAAGGCTGGTGTGTTTATCACAGCCCCTTCCAAGAAACGGCACAGAGTATTGCCTGTGGTGCAGCTAATTTGTACAAAAGGTTCCCAGGATGGATCTGACTCACTCTTTTCTTGTCCTATATGCCAGTCATTCCTGTATGCATATATATGAAGACATAGGTGTTTCTCTCCCCATTCCCCTGACCAGCTGCCAAATCTCCTTGGAACTGGAGTGCCCTTCCCATTGCACATCAGGGAAAAGTAGAATTGTCCTTTCTCTGTGCTTCCCCTTCACGTTACTAGTGTTTGAAGTGGTTTCCTAGTTGGTTTGTAGAACAGAGAGGATCAGTCTTATGCTGACGGTTACACTTCATTTCCACTTTCTGAAATTCCATTAAAAGAAGCTGAAATTTTTTCAAATGTCTTCCTAATCAGTCTTTTCCAGATACAGTGCTGCTGTTGCCAATTCAAGGATAGTAGTGAACAAACTGGCATCTGCAGTAGGGCTCTTGCTTATAGCGCTGCATCCAACGCATGGCAGCTATCTTTTCATCCAGTGTACAGCTACGAGGCCAGAGGGGTGCGGCTGGGGAAAAGCTACCTCTGATCCCACAAAGCCCAGAGTTGAAGCTTCAGACCTCCCACGCTGATGCCTTTCCTTAGCTGTTTTGAAACTTCCAGGGAAATGAGAGGTAGCTGAGGATTTTCCCTTTCCTTGTTTTCTGTGGTACACAAGCTTTACCCTGGCTAGCACTGACAAAGCAGTCATGCTAAGATGGTGAGGACAGATAGGCTCTTAATTTCTTTTTGCACAGAGACATTTCCAAATTGCTAGTGACATGGCTCAAGCTTTAGCCCTTACACCACTGTCTTTTCAGAGAGGGCAAGGAGCAGCCACACACCTCCAAAATCCACATATATGGCACATGAGTTTTCCTGCCAGGATTTGGGCTTGAGGGAATGATCTTGCAGAACTGTGATTCTCAGATACAAGAGCCCAAACGCCGCGTTGCTTGGGATAACCTTTTATTAGGCAGGATGAATACTGTAAACTAGTTCCTTGCTGACATTTGCCTTTACCCTGTGTCCAAACACTACTGTTTCTTTTCTTACAGCCATCTCTTGAGCTACTTACAGTCACAGACAGAGGGCAGCCCCAGAGCAGGTAGCCTCATCAACTAACAATAGAAAGAAAGGCCTGGCTGTGGATATAAAGATCGCCAGGGATGGGATTGGCTCTGATCACATAGGAAAAAACCAGCACAAATTCACAGGAGACTTATCAGCGGCATTGTGAAGGAGCAAACAGAATGGCTGTCAAGTGGCATTTGAGCCTGTCCTGAGCATCTGATCCAGTGCTCGCTCAAGAGATTCCTATGAACTCAAATGGGCTCAAATCATATGCTGTTTTCAAAACTGAAAAATGTTATTTAGCTCACGCTGGGATTTCCAAAGATCTAGAACTCAGAATTCTTACCCAAATGGTATCTGGCAGAATAACAGGCACTCTGTGAGACTGCACCGATACAAAGAGAGAGAACAAATAATATAAGCAAAGAAGGAAAATGAAATCTCAGTTAAACTATACTTTCTACTTACTGTGTCATGAGCAGCTCTGTGTTACACCTGGTAGGGGTTTCTGACTTCTGCTGTTGATATAGCACAGCCACACCCAAGTTCAGCATGTAGAAAGCGGAAGGATTTCTCACCTGCCATAGAAAAGTAACATGTTACAGAACCAGTTGTCTTAATAACAGCTATAATAAATGCAGTATCTGTATTCTTGGCCACAGCAAAAGAAACACATTGCAAACAAGCAATGGAATAATTACATCGTACTATTATTTACTTATTTTGCATTTGTTATATATTCTCCTTCTTCACTGCGAGTGCAATCTGAGTGTATAGCAAGGCCCCAGGGTCCTGGAAAACCAATTTACCTTTCAGATTAAGCACCCTATTCATGTGAAAAGAATATTGTTCATAACTGGGCCTAGTAACATTTTTAAGTGGATCAGTATGTATGATACATATTGTTCAGATGCACCCTCTGGTCTCATTTGTGGATTTTTGTATTTATCCATATGAAGTCTTAGTAACCCGCTCCTTTCAGGAAGCATATTATGTGTGGAATCCATTGTTTTGTTCTCAGAATGAGCTTCCTGAACCAGAGCAAGACAACGGTGGCACAACCGAGTCTGTGAAAGAGCAAGAAATGAAATGGACAGATTTGGCTCTCCAGTACCTCCACGAAAACGTTCCACCCACAGGAAACTAGTGAATCAGTGAGATTTCATGCACTGGATGCATAAATGCAATATAAAAAGTATTTTCCAGCTTACCGTCGCTGTCATAAGCTTCTCTAAGGAGGAAATGACGTTTCTGAAAAAGGCTTGGATTCAAACAATGGTTCTACTCACATTGACCAAACACAGTTTAAAAAGGTTCTATAAGGAGTGTGAAATAACAATGGCTATCTGACACCTCAGAGCTAATATCAGAATGTTTCTCTTATGTAAAATTATTTCGTATCTTCTGTTAAATTGTTCTTAAGTTGGTGCCAATTCTGATCTTAAATGTTTTCTACATGTGATAAAAGAAGTAGTTTTTACTGTCTCCAGTTGTTATTGATTTCAAAGCTCACAATGGGACCATTTCTGACTCGGAAGGCTTATGTCCTAAGGAAGTATACCCGTGTAGTCTGTGGTTAGAGTTCAGTGTACAAAAACCAAATAGCCCTAAGTCAGTTGTGACCATCTTTAACTAGTGTGTGGCTGAGGGGTTGTGTGGGGCAGGCATGAAAGATTGGTCGACGGGACTCAAGAGCTGGAAGTTATCTGTAAACACAGGCAGTTATTTGAACTCCTCATCTCAGGATTTGATGGTGGTGGACAGCATTTCTAGTGCTGACAACCTGGGTATGTTTGCCAATACGCGTACTGTAAACAGAGTCTCTTAAGTTATGCTAAAATGGTGGTTACTCAAAATCATTGTCTTTTGAGGGATGATTGAGAGTGCAAGGAAGTGCCTGCCAGTCCCGGTGTACCACCTATTGAACTGACAGCCACTTGGATGAGCGCTCTCAGATGGGAAATCACTGAGGAAAGCAATGGGGAAAAGAAACAAGTGGGGCTTAGCTTCAGGCAATAAACTGTTACCTCTTTTTCTGCTGAGAAGAAAGGCAGGGCACTCTTGGTTTCTTTATCTCATTTTATCTCTGATTCTCAAATGTCTTTTGCAGCAGGTAAAAGCCTTCTGTTCATCTTGCATGTTTCACTGTTGGACCGATTCCTTCGCACCATTGGCAGAACTTGCTAAGGAGAAAATATTTTGACAGAGTTTAGGATTAGTGGTAGAGGTGAGAAAGGAACTGGAAGGAAAACAATGTTTCACATTTTCTTTTGCCAGTGCATCAGAAAAAGCACTTCCCTGGAGCTTGCAGCTTCTAGACTCTACAGAAGTTTTTTGGTGTCTTTCCTCAATGTTTATCCTCTTCAAAATATCAAAAAACAACTTTTGCCTGTGTGAATACCAAATAGAATCACAGCACGGCACACATCCTGTGAGATTGTGATTGCTGAGCTGCATGAGGATGGAGAGCTCAAGGTGCTTGTGGAAAAAATCACGTGTGCTGCTGGGCGCGCGCACCTATGTCTGAGGCATAATCCGTGCCTGTGCCAGACAAGCAGCACGCACTTGTCTGAACAAGAAGGAGCTGCAGAGAGCCAGCAGGCAGAGTTAAGGATTAACCCAAGAATTAGCAAAGTCAAAAAGCTTAATGTGTACAGCATGAACCAAAGAAACAGCTATGCAGCTGCGAACTGTAATAGTTCAGCTCCTGACTGGATCATCACCAGGGAGAAAAAAAGCAGAGCCTGTGCTTAATGAGGTGTTTCTGATCCTCCCCATGTTCCCTTTCCCTGGCCTACGTTAGAAGAATTTGCTAAGAAAACATTAGGCAAAGCTACCACACAGCTTCTGTCCAGCAGTCGTCTCTGCTCTCTCTTCCCCTCCCTTCTCTCATCCCTTTACATACTGCCCACCACCCTCACTTTTCCAATTTTGCCACGAGATCTTTCAGCTCCAATTTCAGACTTCCTTTCCTGCCCCTGCCAGTTGTCTCTCTTTGCATCTGCCATCTTCTTCCTCTCACCCAGCAGGGAAAAAAGAAAAAAAAAAAGCCTTTCTTACTTGAATTAGAGCTGGATTCATGAGGTTCCAGCAGGTCTGCAAGAAAATGTGGGGATGCCAGCTGTACATGTATCATCCAAGACAGCAGTTGCTTGGCAGCCCCATGGAGACCCAGATTACCTCGAACTGTCACAACATAGCGCTGTGCATCTGCCTCCTGCCTGAGTTGACAGGGTCTTGTAAGTTAGAAGGGGTGCTGAGGAGGAGAGCTGGAGGGACATGGGAGAGTAAGGATCATCAAGAATGCTACCAAGGTAGGGCCCTGTGAAACTAAGTGCTGGCCCAGCCCAGATGCTTATCAGACTTGCAGTGACACCTACAATCTTCCCTGCCTTTTGACATTCTTTGCAAAAGACAAATAGACATGCAATAATTTCCTTAATTTCAACACCTGTAGTCAAATTGCTGCTTACAGCGTGATACCAAACCATTTGTCTCTTTGATTAGTCATTCCCCAGGGTGAACCTTAAAATAAGGAAACCTGGTAGAACAGAAGGTGCCCCACCTTTTTAAGAAGAAGCTTTAGTTGTATAACTAAAGACTGGTCTTCATTTCTCGGCCGGTAACTTCCTCCTTTCACCACACCTACTGTTCCTGGCGGAAAAAAAGAATAAACTGTTGTCAGAGACAGCAGACACATGCCAAAGAAATTGTGGGATCCTTAAAATCTTTTACCTGTAGAAGTTCCATGTGGAAGTCCATATGCTGAAGCTGTGTGTCGTGTTCATCTACCTTTTGTATGGGGTGAAAACAGGTAAGAAATCAACCGTTTGTTTTGAATGTTTTTGTCAAATATAACATGCTTTCTGTGCTTTGCAGAAACATGAATCTACCTACCCTCTGCATTATAGTTACTGTGGAGGGTTTTTCACTAGCATGATTTATTTTGGCAAAGCAAATTACACTGGTTACATGAATGTAGTCAGCTCTAAGAGTTCCAAATGTAAAACCAGAAGTCATTTTTATTATCTTTTCCTCACTTTGCAAACATTTCTCTCATATAAGTACTATCCATCAACACTGAAAATGTCATTTGAAATCTTCAGAGAAGAATGATTTCTTTTCAGCAGTGTCTTACATGACAGACGCGAAGGATGAATTACCATTTATGAACAATAAGCCTCATTTGATATCCTCACAGCCCTATCAAGAATCAACCCATATAACAATAAACAAATGTACTGCCTTGCGTTAGCATACACATGGGAGCAAGTCAAGTTATAGATCTCTGCTTCATAGGGAAAACAAACAGGATTAAAAAAAAACAAAACACAACAGTATTCTAATAAATACTAACTTGTATTTCACCAGGTTCTCTGGAGTAATCTTGGGGTTGCAATTGGCTTAGTTCGTTAAATGTGCTGTAGGAAATGTAGTCATAAGAAGTGCAAAAAGAGAATTGTGTGAAAAGGCACCAAGGAAACCCAGTGAGATGGTGAAGACCAGTTTAAGAGGTAGAGGGCACACTCCCTCTGTGGAAAAGTGATGGAAATCTTCACTAATGCTACGAAGAGCTGCCGTGTGGTAGTGAAGTGTGCTTAAAGCCGAAGACTCATTGTTGATGTGTAAGGCCAGTCTGTTGAAACACACTGTAAAAAGTCCAGGCGAGGCAACAGCGTTTTGAGTGTCAGTGAAACTGCAGACAAAGACAGAAGCAGCAACACGCTTATCTGAGATCCACGCAAGGTGTTGACCGGGCGAGCAGCCCCCTTTGCGGGCTCTATGTGGCAATACCGTCTCCCAAAAACCACAGCTAGCACAACTACGAGTTTGACCAAGTGACCACTGACCCACCGAACTGAAAATCTATTGGAACTTCACTTTGCAAGAGGACAGACTGGTGAGAGGTAAAAAATTCAGCTGCTGTTCTATTCATACAGACAGCCCCAAAATGCCACTATTGCGAACCCTGCCCATCCATAGGATGAACATCCAGGACAGAAGGAAGAAAACGCCTCCAAACACTGCGTCCAAGAAAGGAACGAGAGAGAACAGGGGAAGGCAGGCCTTAAGTAGCACTGACTGCACTAAATACCACGGAGTCTGCCTGGGATCATTCTCGTGGCCACAACGCTCCCACCTGGGAGTATATAACTTCAGAATATATATATATACACACACATGTGTAACTTCAGAACCAAGTTATTCTGAAGATGCCCCTTCTGTTGCAGTAGCACCTCAGAGGCAGATCTCAAGCTCGAGACAAAAGATGTCCAGCTCCCTCGTAGGAACATGGGTTTAACAGATTGGTATGCCCCCTGGTACAGGTGCTGAGATGTCAGAGCACCTTGCCCAAGAAACTAGTGTTTGCTGTCCAATTTTACAGATCAGAAAAGTGAGCAGAGGGAGAAAAGTGAATTGCCTGAGGCCGTTCAGCAAGCTAATGGCCAAGACAGGGCTGGGAGCGAGTTAACGGGACACTGGGTTAATTGCCACATTTATTCACCTTTCCTGGAGGGAAGAGGTCTGTTGGACAGGGGTTAAGTACAGTGCCAGGGTGTAAGTTTCCTCCTCCCTTGCTTGCAGAGTTAATCTCAATCAGCCTCTTGCCTCATCACAGAAATCATGTTGGAGTTTCAAAGACACTTCCAGCCATTTGGGTAGGATTCATAGTGCTTATCAGAATGAAGAGCAAAGCCAGGATAACCGGCTGTCCTCATGTGTCAGCTTTTGTTACGCATGGTGGACGAGTCTGGGACACAAACCAGCCAGCCAGAAGAGAAGCTGGCAGGTTTCCCCCCGCTATTAGCACTGATCTGATTTTGTTAATTAAAACAGAACAAACCTAACAGACTTGGTGCAGATGTAACAAGGCTTTTTAAACAGTTCCTGTGTTAGGTATTAGCAAATGCCGATCAGCTCTTTAAAAGCTCTTCTTTACCAGAAGGTTTGGGCTGCTCTGGTGACAAACATAGTGCTCCTCTGGGCAAGTCTCGGCACAATGCAGAAGATACAGAAACAAATTAAGCAATCAATGCAATCTTGCACCACATAGAAGTAATTCTTGCCTGGCATTTCTGCCTGTATTACTACAGCTTCAGTGGCGGTAAAGGTGATTAACAATACTATATCATACTAATACTAGATAATAACTACAACAATTTGTAGTTATTAGTAAAAAATAAATATAATTGTATTTTTTTATGTTACAGTAGCACCTAGAGGACAGTCATTGAGTATCACTGTGTATGCTGGTGTATATCAGAAAAAAAATGATAACTTTTCTCTACTAG